TTACTACGACGACTGCGACTAACTACTACCGACTACGACACGACATACTACTAACGACTACTATTACTACTACTACTACTACTACTACTAATACTACTAACTAACTACTACTACTACCTACTACCTCGACTACTCCTGTTCCGCCTGCTCCTATACTACGACTACTATAAACTACTACTACTACTACTCCACTATTAACACTACTACTACTACTACTACTACTACTACGACTACTACTACTACTGCTACTACGACTACTACTACTACTACTACTACTACTACTGCTGCTGCTGCTGCTACTACTGCTGCTACTACTACTACTACTACTACTACTACTACTACCACTACTACTACGAGTACGAATACGATTAACACTACCACTTCCACGACCGCTACCACTACTACTACGACTAACACTACCACTACCACTACCACTACCACTACCACTACTACTACTATCACTACTACGACCACTGCTAGAAATAGCACTACGTAGCACCCCGCAGATGCGGATCAGAGTGAGAGGGCGGTAACGACGTTGGAAATTTGCGAGACTCCGGAGAAGCCCGCCGCAGTCGTCAAAGTTCCAACAGTATACAACGACCAATGCGGGTCGCGGGTGGTCGCGGGTGGGTCGCGGGGTGGGTCGCGGGATGGGTCGCGGGGTGGGTCGCGGGGTGGGTCGCGGGTGGGTCGCGGGTGGGTCGCGGGCGGGACGACGACAACAAACAACAACAACAACAACAACAACAACAACAACAACGACAACAACAACAACAACAACAGCAACATAAACAACACAACCACAACATCAACAACAACAACAACAACAACAACAACAACAACAAGGCATCAACGCCTATGTGTGCCCCTTCCCCAGGGGCACAAGAGTCCGGTCACTCTATTCGCATGACCCGACTCCTGTGCCCCTCCCCACCCACGAGCGGGGGGGGCAGCAGCCAGCAGCCAGCATCCAGCACTCACACAAACAAGTAACCACAAAATCCACTGGGACCCATATAGAAGTCAACTCGGCCTTGCCTTCGCCAAACGATCGCGCGCTGGCGAAGCAACGCCTCTGGTTGCCTCCTCTAGTGAGCACATGTTAGGGATGGATGGAACCTAGCATCCTATTAGGGATGGATGGAACTCTAGGGGATCCTGTGAGGAGCGGATGGAGCTCTTATAGGATCCTGTTAGGGGTGGATGAAGAATTAATAGGATCCTGCTACGGGTGGATGGAGCTTTGATTGGATCCTGTTAGGGATGGGTGGAGCAGTAATAGGATCCTGTTGGGGACGGATTGGGAGGTGATGGGGCCCTGTTGGGGGTGGATGGAGCTGTAAAAAATTCCTGTTAGGGATGGATGGAGCATCAATAAGATCCTGTCAGGGATGGATGGAGCTCTAATAACATGCTGTTGGGGATGAAAGGAGCTAGTATGGAATCAATACGAATCAAATCGGAACAAATACGAAGCATAACACATGATTACGAATGGAAGAATCAATACGAATCAACAGGTATCTATGGGGATCAATCGGACCCAACCGGAATGAATCCGAATTAATTGGAATCAATGGGAATGAATTAGCATCAGTAGGGATCAATCAGAATCAAGTGGACGCATGGGGAATCGATTCGGTAAAATGATAATAGATTAGAATCAGCAGGAATCAATTCGAATCCATAAGAATCAAAAATAACCCATAGGAACCAATGAGAATCAATTCGGAATCAATTAGAATCAATAAGGAAAAGTTAGAACCAATACGAATCAATCGGAATCGAACAGAATTAATCTGAATGAATTAGAATCAACAGGAATCAATGAGATCCAACAGGAATCAGCAACACAAATAAGACTCAATTCGAATCAATAGGAACCAATTAGAAACAATACGGACCAATAGAAATCATTAGGAATCAGAAAGGATCAAGAGGCAACCACCAAGATCAACAGGAATTAACTAGAATCAACATGAATCCATTCTAAACAATAGGAAGCAGTTCAAATCAATAGAAATCAATAAGAATCAATCCGAATCCGTTGGAATCGATAGGAATCAATTAGAATCACTGGGAGTCAATAGGAATCAATTTGAACCAAATGGAACAATATGAATCCATGGGAAGCAACAAGGATCAACTAGAAGCAATAGAACTCGATTCGAATCACTCGGAATCAATCAAAATCAATGGGAATCACTGTCAATCAATAGGAATCAATAGGACCCGAATAGATTCAATTAGAACCAATAGAAAACAATTAGAATCAATAGGAATTACTGAGAATCAATTAGAATCAATGGGAAACCACTAGAATCAATAGGAACCAACTGGAGTCAATAGGAATTAATCAGAATCACGAGGATCCAATTAAAACAATTGACGTCGGCTCCCGTACTGTTCTCCACGCATTCCTGCGTGCAAAAGCCGTTCGCGCGCCGGCGAAGCGAGCTTCCCCTACTCTATAGGAATCAACGAGGATCAGTTTAAAAATAATCATCAATTCGAAGCAATAGTAATCAAACAAAACTAATTAAAAATCAATAAGAATCAAAAATAATCAATCAGAACCAATGAGAGTCAATCGGAATCAAATAGCACCGATAAGAATCAATTTGAATCAAAAGTATGAATTCAAATGAACGGGATGAATTAGAACCAATGGGAATCAATTGGCACCAATAGGGATCATTCAGAATCAAAAGGAATCAAATAGAATCGATGGGAATCGATTAGAAACAATAGGGATCAATAGGAATCAGAAGGAATTACTTACAATCAATAAGAATCTAATAAGATCAATCGGAATCAATAAGAAAGAATGGGATTCGATTGGAATCAATGAGAATCAATTAGAACCAATAAGAATCAATGAGAATCAATGGGAATCAGGTAGAATCGATAGGAGTCAATGGGAATCCATTAAAACCCGTAGGAATCAATAGGGATTCAAATGAGTTCAATAGGAATAAATTAGAATCAATAGGAACCAATCAGAATCAATGGGAATCACTTAGAATCAATTGAAATCAACTAGAACCAATCGGAATCAATTAGAATCATTCGGAACCAATGAAGATCAATAGGAATCAATAAGAATCAACGGAAGTCAACTAGAAATCAATGGGAATCACTGGGAATCAATAGGAATCAATAGGAATCAATAGGACCCAATTAGATTCAATTAGAGTCAATAGGAAACAGTTAGAGTCAGTAGGAATCACTGAGAATCAATAAGAACCAATAGGAATCAATTAAAATCAATGGGAACCAGTTAGAATCAATGAGCATAAATTAGAATCAATAAAAAATTAAATATAATCATTAACCAATGGGTATCAATGGGCATCAATCGGAGACCCATCGTGGGACAACGACACATGTGAAGTGTGCTCCGAAATGGGCCCGGAGCGTCCCGTGGAGACCCCTCGTGGAACCACGAAACGTGTGAGGGTGATCCGAAGTGGGCCCGAGGCGTCCCGCGGAGGCACTCCACAAGGGCTGTGGACCGTGCGAGGGGCCACGGAACGTGCGAGGGGTGCTCCGACATGAGCGCGAGGCGTCCCGTGGAGACACTCGAACGGCAGCGAAACGTTTGAGGGGTGCTCCATAATGGCCCCGAGGCACCCGAAATGACTCGCGTTGCCTTCGGTGGGGACACCTCGTGGGGCCACGAAACGTGTGAGAGGTGCACCGCAATGAAAGCCCGAGGCGCCCCGTGGAGACCCCTCGTGGGGCCACGAAACGTGTGAAGGATGTTCCGAAATAGGCCAGGGGCGTCCCGTGGAGACCCCTCGTGGGGCCACGAAACGTGTGAGGGATGTTCCGAAATGGGCCCGAGGCATCCCGTGGAGACCCCTCGTGGAACCACGAAACGTGTGAGGGGTACCCCGAAATTGGCCCGAGGCATCCCTTGGAGACCCCTTGTGGGGCCACGAAACGTGTGAGGAGTGCTCTGAAATTGGCCCGTTGGCGTGGGCATGGGCGTAGGCGTTGATGCCCAACAACATCATCATCATCATCATCATCATCATCATCATCATCATCATCATCCTCATCATCAACAACAACAACAAGAACAACAACAACAACAACAACAACAACAACCACCACCACCACCACCACCACCACCACCACCACAACAACAACAACAACAACAATCATTTAAGACTGGGGACACACCGTTCTCACCAGTGCCAGGGTTTTCATAGGAGGCGGGCATACCCCCACTTTGTGGGGGGGCCGGTTCAAGCTCTACCAAGTTTCCAAACGACTCTTCGCCACCACCCACACCCAGCTTCCCGCCCTATGACGTTCGGACACTTCACTTCGTGGCCTGCGGACGACCTTGGCTACTACACTGGCGCATGGTTACAATGACTTCTTGTGGTAACATCTTGTGGAAACTAGCTTAGTATACGACTTATACCCCTGTTCCAACAATGGGCACGTGTACCGTTTTCCGACGTTTTAACGTTTCTGTACCACACAAGCCAAGAAACTGTTGGAAAACCATTGGTTTTTTTAGGATTCGGACAGCGCGCGCGGGTGGAAATTTTGAAAAGTCGTGAGGTGTTTTTCGAGGACCTACGGTGCGATTCGTGTGATTTTATGATGCGCGGTGCTAAAATTCTTAAGAACCCAATGGTTTTTGGAGATTTCGGCGTGCGCGCGCGAAGAAAAAACGAATGTGTCCCGCATGGTATTATTTGACAGGGATGATGGCCCTGGCAGGTGCGCAACCGTTGTCGCAGAAGTTCGAAAAAGTTGCTCGCAAAAGCCCGTTTGACAGAAATGTTTAAAAGTGTTGGGTTTCCTACGAATCCGCAAGAGCGCGCGGGATGAGATTTTGACATTTTTTTGTTGAAAAACCATTGGTTTTTTGATGTTTTTATGTTGAAATCGTTCCGAACACTAAGCTTTTGGAAGGATTTCGTCTTGCGCGCGCGAATGTCCACTTTACCTTATTTTTTGCAAGGGATTCTTGAAATTTGATTATATTAGAACAAGAAATGTCATTTTATAGTGTTTTTTGCAAGGGAAAACGGATTACAACAAAACAACCGGATCTGGATCACATCGTTTTACCTGAGGCTTCCTCACGAAAATGATGAAAATGTAGCTGCGGCCTAGGCGGCGCAGGGGGGGCGTGCACCAGGGGGCCCAACAATAATTATTCTTTAGAATAAATAATGTTCAACAACAACAACAACAACGCGACAAACAGAATTCTCACCACGAATTTCTTTTTCAGCAACGCACCCAGGGACAATAAATGACCGTTCGGCCCCCTCACTCTGATCATCATGACTCGTGGAATCCTTCGCCCACACTGATGTATACTCCCACTCTCTCTCTCTCTCGCTCCCCCTCTCCTCTGTCTCTTTCTCTGCTTTCGCCCTGATAACTGTTACAAATGGGCCCCTCCTCCTCCTGTGGCTCCTGTAGCTTCCAGTGGCCTCCTGGACCCTGGACGTTCATGGGGCGCTCTGGGAACGAGGAGGTATGGCGGAGAAGAGAGTAAGTAGGAGGAAGAATACACGTCTACCCATGCTGAATGGCAACAGGAAACGCGCTGCCATTCCGTCGCTCGCCTTACCGCTTCGATTCTAGCCAGACCCAGCCCTAAGGCGCATTGATGTTTTCGATGAGTGGGCCCCCTGGAACCCTCGACTCCTTGCACACGAGTAGTTTTTCATCCTGGGTTGCTTCCTGACAGCCCCGAGGCCCGAAACCGGCTCCATGAGGCCTCAAATGCTCACAAACCGGCCGCCTGGATTCTGTCGAGGCGCCAAATGTCTGGGACCAGGAAGTCGACGACGACCGCTCTGGGCGGCCGGCCACGTAGACGGGATCCAGCATGTCGTCATGGAGGTGCACCAGTACCTTGGCGATAACCCTCACGAGGTGGTCGCGACTGGGGACGCAAGGCGGCTGCTTCCTCCTCCTCCTCCTCCTCCTCCTCCTCCTCCTCCTCCTGCTCCTCCTCCTGCTCCCCCTCATGCTCTTCCTCCCAAGTGTCTCCTCTCGTCTTGCTTGTCCCTGTTCCCGTCTCGTCCTCATCGTCCCTCATCCCTCTTTCTTCATCCTCTCTGCCTGTACATCGCTGCACCACCCTCACAACTCGCTCACTCCCCCACGTTGAACCTAATCCTCAGCCTCCTCCTCCTCCTCCTCCTCCTCCTCATCCAATTCCTCATCCAATTCATCATCATCATCATCATCATCATCATCATCATCATCATCATCATCATCATCATCATCATCATCATCATCGTCATCATCATCATCATCTCCATCATCATCATCATCATCATCATCATCATCATCATCAGCAGCAGCAGCAGCAGCAGCAGCAGAAGCAGCAGTATCATCATTTTCATAATCAGCATCATCATCATCATCAGCAGCAGCAGCATCATCAAGATCAGCATCGTCATCACCATCATCATCAACATCAGTATCATCATCATCAGCATCATCATCATCAGCATCATCATCAACAGCATCATCAGCATCATGATCAGCATCATCATGATCATCCTGATTATCATCAGCAGCAGCATCAGCATCAGCTTCAGCATCAGCATCAGCATCCCTATCATCAGCATCATCATCAGCATCATCAGTATCATCAGCATCATCATCAGCATCATCAGCATCATCAGCACCACCGTCAGCATCATCACCATCATCATCATCATCGTCGTCGTCGTCCCCACCACCACCCTCGCCACCATCAGCATCATCGTCATCATTATCAGCGGCAGCAACATCAGCACCAGAATCATCATGCCACCAACAACAACAGCAGGAACAGCAGCAACAACAGCAAAAGCAGCAGCATCATCATCGACACGATCATGATCATAATCATGATCATAATCGTCGGAATCAGAATCACCATCATCGTCATCATCATCAGCAGCAGCATCATCACCAGAAGCACCACCACTATCCTCATCAACACCATCATCAGCATCAGCAAGCTTCATCGTCAACATCATCATCATCACCATCATCATCATCGTCATCATCACCGCCAACACCACCATCACCATCATCACCGTCATCAGCATCAGCATCCTCCTGATCATCATTATTAGCGTCACCATCATCAGCAGCATCATCATCTTCAGCAGCATCATCGTCAGCAGCATCATCGTCAGCAGCATCATCGTCACAACACCACCATCATCACCACCACAAGCATCATCCTCATCATCATCAACATCGCCACCACCAACAGCATCATCCTGCTCTGTCTCATCATCACTTTCATCATCAGCAGCAGCACCACCACCACCATCATCACCGTCATTATCATCAGCATCCACATTATCATCTGCAGCATCATCATCATCATCAGCAGCAGCATCATCAACAACTGCATCATCATCATCGTCATCATCTGCATCATCATCAGCATCATCATAATCAGCCTCGTCATCATCATCATCGTCATCATCATCAGCATCAGCATCACAATCATCAGCAGCATCGTCATCATCAGCATCATCAGCATCATCAGAAGCATCATCATCATCATCATCATCACCATATCATCATAAGCATCAGTATCATCATCAGCATCATCATCAGCATGAGCATCATCAGCATCATCGTCGTCATCAACATCACCATCATCATCATCGTCGACTCTGGCATCCGTATCATCAGCATCATCATCAGCATCATCATGCTCATCATCCTCATCATCCCCATCAGATTCATCATCATCCTCATCCTCATCCTGCTCCTCCTCCTCCTCATCCCTCTCATCCTTCTTTTCCTCCGCCTTCACCTCCCCCATCCACCTCCTCCTCCTCCTCCTGCTACTCCTCCTCCTCCTCCTCCTTCTCCTCATCATCATCATCATCATCATCATCATCATCATCATCATCATCATCAGCATCATCATCCTTCTCCTCCTCCTCCTCCACCTCCTCCTGCTCCTCCTGCTCCTCCGCCTCCGCCTCCCCCTCCTTCTTCCCCCTTCCTTCTTCTCCTCCTCCTTCTCCTCCTCCTCCTACTACTACTACTCCTCCTCCTTTTCCTCAACCTCCTCTTCCTCCTCCTCTTCCTCCTCCTCCTTCCTTAACCTCCTCCTCCTCCTCCTCCTCCTCCTCCTTCTCCTCCTTCTCCTCCTCCTCATCCTCCCCATCCTCAAGAGTGAGGATGAAGAGTCCCGAGGGAAAAGGGTGCTGGACCCTGGGGCGTCTCCCAAGATCAGCTTCCGTCCTGAACGGTATTCGCCAGTCCCGGGGCCCGATGAGGGCCCCTCCCCCTCCAACATCTGGAGAAAAGAAACCGAGGAGGAGGAGGAGGAGGAGGAGGAGGGAGGAGGAGGAGGAGGAGGAGGAGGAGGAGGACGAGGAGGAGGAGGAGGAGGGTTTTCGGAGTTTTCGACGGGGGGTGGCCGCAAACAACGACACAAACTCGAGGGCCGTTTCCCTCCGCACTCCTCTTCATCATCATCATCATCATCATCATCATCATCATCATCATCATCATCATCATCATCATCATCATCATCATCATCATCATCATCATCATCATCACATCATCATCATCATCATCATCATCATCATCATCATCATCATCATCATCATCATATCATATCATCATATCATAATCGTCATCATCATCATCATCATCATCATCAGCATCATCATCATCATCATCATCAGCATCACCACCACCACCACCACCACCACCATCATCATCATCATCATCATCATCATCATCACCACCACCACCACCACCATCATCATCATCATCATCATCATCATCATCATCCTTCTCCTCCCTATTTCCCTTCCTCCTCCCCTCCCCCCCTCCTCGACCTCCTCCCTCTTTCCCTCCCTCCCTCCCTCGCTCCCCCCTCCTCCACCTCCGTCGTGGCGAAGGCATGGAGGCCCCTAGGACGAGCGAGGCGCCGCCGAAGGGCGGATTTCCACCGCTCCACCCAACCAGCCACAACGGGGGGAGCTCGTATTCATTACCCCCTCTGGGGGAACCCATCGTCTCGACGTTTTGTCGAGAGGGAGGGGGGTGAAAGCCGATGGGCCCCCCTGGAGGAACAAAAAGATATCCGCACCGCTACTCCACAGACCTCTCGTGGGGTGCATTCTGATCAGAAATTCCAAGCGAACCCAACAATGGTGACGAGGGAAAGGTAGCGGCGTCGGTAGATGTCCCTCCTGTGGACCCCAGTCGGGGCGGGGGGGAGGACCCGCAGCTCCCCCCGGCCGTGGCTGACCTGCCCACGCACCGACAGGGAGGGAGGCAGCGCCTCTGTCGGCTCTCGTTGAACTTCTGCGTCCAGATCCAGCCCGCCTCGCAGTCGTGCTCCTCGGCCGCACATCTCGGCGGCGAGCGAGGGGGGGAAGTGAGAAGGAGAAGGCCTCTCCGGAAGGCGGCGGGACCTCTCGAGAGCCCTCGCGCCCTCGGAGAGGATTTCTGCGTCTTCGGGGAAGGCCGGGGGGTTCTGCTGCCCCAGCTGCCGCGTGGTGAGCTGGCCCGGCCGGTTTGAATCGCGCCCGGCTGCGAGTTAGGTTTGCCCGTCGGCCTGGACGACTTCTGTCGCCGCCTGCGCGCTCGCTTGCGGCCGCGACCGAAAAAAGGGGAAGGCCAGGGGGCCTCTGAGCCTTCGGAGAAGGCCCGCCCCGTCTCGCCTCGTCCTCCTCCTCGCTCCTCCTCCTCCTCCTCCCCTCCTCCTCCTCCTCCTCCTCCTCCTCCTCCTCCTCCTCCTCCCCTCCTCCTCCTCCCCCCCTCCTCCTCCCCCTCCCCTCCTCCCCCTCCTCCCACCTCCTCCTCCTCCTCTCCTCCTCCTCCTCCTCTCCTCCTCCTCCCCTCCTAACCTCCTCCTCCTCCTCCTCCTCCCCCCCCTCCTCCTCCCCCTCCTCCTCCTCCTCCTCCTCCTCCTCCTCCTCCTCCTCCTCCTCCCCCTCCTCCTCCTCCTCCTCCTCCTCCTCCTCCTCGCCAGTCTCGGGCCGATCACGGCGGGCGCTTCCCCGCCACGGGGGGCCGCCCGTGGACCCACGCCCCACCGTCGCGGCCACGCGCAGGCGACGACGGTGCCCGGCGGAACGCCGAGGACGGGCCCCCCGTCGGCTCGCCGCCGAACATCGTCCCACTGCGGAGGAGGAGGAGGAGGAGGAGGAGTTGCAGAAGGAGGAGGAGGAGGAGGAGGAGGAGGAGTTGCAGAACGAGGAGGAGGAGGAGGAGGGGAGGAGGAGGAGGAGGAGGACGAGGAGGACGAGGAGGACGAGGAGGAGTTGCAGAACGAGGAGAAGGAGGAAAAGGAGGAAAAGGAGGAGAAGAAGTAAGAGGACGAGGAGGAGAGAGAGGAGGAGGAGGAGGAGTTGCAGAACGGAGAAGAGGAGGAGGAGGAGGAGGAGGAGGAGGAGGAGGAGCAGGAGTTGCAGAACGAGGACGAGGAAGAGGAGAAGGAGGAGTTGCAGAACGAGGAGGAGGAGGACGAGGAGGAGGACGAGAAGGAGGAGTTGCAGACGAGAACGGTCGCGGGGGGCGGCGCGGGCCGAGGGGCGGGGGGCCGAGGGCGAGGGGCGGAGGCAGCGGGAGCACGAGCAGAGAGGGGCGGCAGCAGCGGCGGCGGGCAGCGGCCGGCGCGGGCCCTCTGCCGCGGCGCCTGCAGCCGTCCCGCCTGCAGCTGCGGCCACGTGTGCGCACGCAGAGACCACGAGACGGACACCCAAAGCCCGAGGAGCCTCGTCCTCCTCATCTTCCCCTCCCTCCATCCACGCCCACCTCCCCGTCCGTCCTCCCTCTCTGTCACCCCCTTCATCTCCTCGGAATCCTTCCTGCTCATCCTCATCATCGTTTCTCCTCTCTCCTGCTCCTCCTCCTCCTCCTCCTCCTCCTTCTCCTCCTTCTCCTCCTCACCTCCTCCTCCTCCTGCTCATCATCAGCAGCAGCAGCAGCATCAGCATCAGCATCACCACCACCATCCATCATCATTCATCTACCACCACCACCACCATCATCACCCCACACCACACCACCACCCACCCACACCATCATCATCATCATCATCACATATCATCATCATCCATACCAATCAACATCATCATCCCATCATCATCATCCATCATCATCATCATCATCGTCATCGTCATCGTCATCGTCATCATCATCATCATCATCATCATCATCATCATCATCATCATCATCATCATCATCACCTGCAACAAACAAGTTGGTTCTGCTCGCCCTGTTTTACTCGCGTGCCCTTCAACCCGCATGTCCCCAACCCACGACTCCCGCCCGTTCCGTTCATGAAGGAATCTCCTTCGGAAGGACTCCTCTCATCATGTCAGCTCATGGGTAGACACCGACAGGGTCGGACAAACGGGTCGGGCAGACGGGTCCCCAGTGGGCAGGTCGGGCGGGTGGAACGGGCGGGTATCGGAGGCCTGGAAATGGGCACCAACACCAAGACAGGGGGTTGCCTCCACAGGGGGAAGATGATCCTCGAGTTCGGTGGTGGTAGTAGTTCGGTCACCTTGGAAGCCAGAATATTGCCACCATCACCGAGATCGGGATCTTCGTCCGTCGGTGGAGGCACAACGCCGATGTTGGGGCGGACCCCAACGGACGAGCCTGGCGGGCAGGCCCGGCTGGCGGGCCGTGACGGGCGAGTCGGGCGAGAGCGGACCCTCTTAACGTGCGGGTCGGGCGGACGGACCCCAGCGGGCGGCATGTGCGAGCGGACCCTACCGTTAGGTCGGGCCTGTCCCCCTACAGGCGCATCTTGGGCGAAACATACTCGAGAGACATAGTGACAAAATGCTCCAAATACTCCCAGAGTAGTCCCCAGACTATCTCTTTTAATGATACCGGAGAAAAAAAACAATCCGCCGACCCCTTGGGTCATCGGCGTGTGAGATGCTCCCCCCTCTCCAAACCCCTCCCCCGGGAACCCGGTCCGGTCGATTTGGAGGGGGGGGGGGTGCCCACGACGAGCGACTCACGACGCTCTTCCGGGCCCAGAAGGGCCCAAATACGTGCCAAGAAAGCCCCAAGAGGCCTCCCAGACGTTCTAAGAGGCCCCCAGACGCCCCAAGAGACCGCCTAGACGCCCTAAGAAGCGCCCGCGAGGCCCCAAGAGGCTTCCAAGACGCCCCACGAGGGCTCCAAGACGCCCGAAGAGACCTCCAAGACGCCCCAAGAGACCTCCAAGAGGCCCTCGCGGAGCGCCCCAAGACGCCAAATTCGTTGATTTTCATTGTTTTTTTTTCGATGTTTTCGTCATGCTCGCCTTTTCGGCCTTCCGACGCTCCAAGACAGCCCAAGAAGCTCCCAAGACTGCTCCAAGACGGCACAAGAGGCCTCCACGACGCCCCCAAGACGGCCCACGAGAGCCCCCAGACGGCCCAAGAGCCGCCCAAGGCGGCCCAAGAGAGCCCCCAGACGGCCCAAGAGCCGCCCAAGACGGCCCAAGAACCTCCCAGAGACGGGCCCAAGAGGGGCTCCAAAGAGAGACCACGCACCGGAAAACCCAGCCGCACGCCCCAAGAGGCCCCCAGGAAGCCCCAAGAGGCCCTAAAGAGGCCCCAAGAACCCCGCAAGAGGCCCCCAAGACGTTCCAAGAGGCGCCCAAGAAGCCACAAAGAGGCCCCAAAACGGTCCCAAGAGCCTTCGACACTGCTCAAAGAGCCCCGCAAGAAGCCCCCCCGCAAAATCCCAACGGACATCTCCGAACACACCGGTGTTTCGAGTCGCGCCCAGCCCCATAACCCGGAGCCTCATCTCCGCGTCCCCCTCCCCCTCCTCTTCCTCCTCCTCCTACACTTCCTCCTCGTCCCCCTCCTCCTCTTCCTGCCCCGCTTCAGCTCATCCTCACCGATGCTTCTCCCCCCCATTTTCCGCCTCGCCCCCCATCCTCCTCTTCCCGTCCTCCCTTTTCTGCCAAGCACGCGCAACCGATTGGGCATCATTTGCACGTCTTGCACTTCAGGTACCCCTTATTTGCGTCGCGCGGGACATTGTGCGGGTCGGGGAACGCCGACTTTGCTAGTCCTCTCTTGCACGCGCCGCTGCACTGATAAGCCTGGCAACTGCGCGCTGTGAACCCGAGTTCCTCGCAGCTTCTGCACACCACTTTAGCTCCTTTCGCCGCTCGATGATCTTCCACTTGCTTCTGCTTCAAATGTTTCGCGTCCGAGAACGCGCCTTTGCACGCCGCGCACGTCAGCGGCTTCGCGTCCGCCTCTGCTTTCCGCTTGCGATTCTCTGCATCCGCCTTCTCGTTCCGCCCACCCTTCTTGTTGCGGGCGCACGCCCTGCAAAACCTCTCCCCCGCATGTTTCGAGTCGTACTGGTTCGCCGCCACTTCCGCCTCCGTCTTCAAGAAATTCTTGCACTTCGCGCACCGAATCTTGAATTTCTTCTGAACCTTCTCCTGCCACGCCGCCGACTCCTTCCGTGACTTCCGCGCCGTCGCGGGCCCCGCGCATCTTTCGCACTTGCTCGTCCTTGCGTACACTCGCCTTCCGCGAGCCTCGTCCTCTGGCGCCCTCGGCCCCAACGCGGCCCACGTCTTGCATTCGGTGCACCACTTTTCGCCCGCTTCCTTCAACTCATCCGCGCACTCGCGACAAAAACACGGCCCGACCTTTTCCCTGAACTCTGTCAGCGTGAAACCCGCTTTCTCCTTCAAGGTGCTACATCTACTGCACATCTCACGGGGCATCAGCTTCGCTTCTATTTCCGCCCGCGGCACCTCCTCCCCGCGTAACTTGCCCAGCAGATGTTTCGCCCCTTCCATCTCTCCTCGCGTATGCGGCTTCATCTCAAACGGGCGATATATCAGCAAACCTCCACGAGTCTTCACGCGGGTGATTGCCACGTAACTCGCCATCCAACTCACATTTCGACCCTCCTGCAAATCTGCTATGACAGCGTCTAGGGATCGGCCCTGCGCCGCGCGCGCCGCGCATGCCAGGCCCGGCGATATCAGAAACTGCTTCCGCCGAACACCTAACACAGGCTTCTTACGGTACGCGTCCAAGAACCAGACCCGTTGTTTCGGTACGATCGGATACAAGCCCGGCCCCGGCATGCTCTTCAGCGTCCACGCGTCCGTATGAAAGTCGAGCACGATCTGCCTCGGCATCCTTCGAAGCGTGACTTCTGCCGCGTCCGCGACGGCACCCTCGCCCTCGTCGACAACCCACGAGCGAATCGTCGCGTGACACCCGCGGAGCAGCTGTTTCTCACCCCGATCCAAATGATCTGTCAAAACCACGGGCATGCCCGCCGCCAGCGGCAGCCACCCAGGCATATCTGCGCATGCTTTATCATGGTATCCCAGCCACCGAACCTTGTCC